ATTACTTGTCTATTTGGACGCTTGCCTAATTTGTTGTCTTTCTTTTCCTACTTCTTTTGTAACTTCATCAAATCTGTTTCATAATTCCACCGATATATTTCGACATGTCATTTTCACTCACCTCTCGTTTTAATTTAATTTCTCAATGTCGTGCAGATGTTACACAGAAATATAATACTGCGCATGTCTTTAGGGCGTGTGTATAGATAAGATGAGCGTCAAAACATTTATTTATCAGCTTTAAAAAAGTGGTTTCGTATGTGGAACCTAAAGCAAATGGAGGAATGGGGGGGGGGGGGGGGGGTGGTTAGTGTTGCCATGTTAATTGGTAAAGTAAAGCGACTTCGGTCTTTGTCTGTGAAAAGAAAATTTGGTCAAAACCAATCCAACACTCGGTCGTACCCACTACGAGTATATCTATTACTTGCTTGTTACTTTGTTGGATATTGTATGCATTGATTCATTTATATTTAATTGGTAGCCGATAAAATAAGTATATATATATATATATATGTAGTTATTTGTTTTAATTATGATTATGATCTTTAGCACAAGCAAAACTTTTCTTTTTTAATAAATTTATATATTTATTAATTAAATATTAATTTATACATTAATTGTAATGTAATAAAAATAATCTTTAAATAAATATGTACACAAAAATACACTATCAAACTCGAATTTATAATCTATTATAAAAGAAAGTATACACATTTCGTTCAGTTAATTAGTAGTTACTACAAGTAAAATAACTTATTTTATAACGAGTACGTTACTAAATTAAGTTATAAATAAACATTACTTACACACTAATTATGAACTGTTCATGAGATGGGAAAAGAGATCTGACCTTTGAAAAATAATGATCACATGTAAATGTCTTCTAACAAACGGCAAATGTGAAATCCGATTCACATAATACATCTTTGGCAGATTGCGTGCAACTTTTATTCATGATATTATCAGAAAAAAGTTGACGAGGAAATATATATCTTAATTTTAACAAGATTGCTGAACTGTTTGACTTCCTAATCTAAAATTGATGTCCGGGATCTATCATGTAATGGGAGTGTAACATATCATGCATGCATGCATGCGAGCAAGCAAGCAAGGCGTGATGTTTCAAGTTATGAACGGTGATTTATTAATTATTTGGTAGTAGTCAGTTTTTGCAGGTAGGAAGTGTAATTATAATTAGTTAAAATTGATGATCAGAAATAATTATGAGGATGAAGACAGGAAAACCAATAATGCCTTTCTCTCATCACAAAACAACATCCAACAAGCTGAGCAGAGAATAAAACAGAGTATATATATTATGTATAAATGTATATATATATTATATATTAGCAAGACGATCAAAATAAGCCCAAAAAAAAACAATCATAAGATGAGAAACTGTGTTGCTTGCGGGTTGTTGTGTTGTGGAAAGGGGAATCAGAATGTTGATGAGGGTTCCTGAATAATCAATTAAGGAAACTTGGTAGGGGTACACATGTATGGTGTCCTATCCATCCACGTCTCTTTTGATCGTCCCATTATATATATACATACATACATACATACATATTTATTTATATATAAACACACACATATATACGTACATACATACAGGTCATGTGATTGGTAGATTATGTGTGTGTCGCCTTGTGCTTGGACATCCTCAGGTAATTATCAAATTTGAGAAATATCTGTATATCCTGTTTTAGTCTTTAAAAAATTTTTTTTTTTTAAAAAAAAGAGGAACCCACCATATCTTGATGCTTACATACCAAGTGCATTGAGCAGAAATAAATGAATTAACATTTGATTCTAGAATTTTAAAGATGATAAGAAGTAAAGGTATGGGGGTAGCTTTAAATGTCTATTGTTAAAGAAAAGCTCACATGTACTGAATTGAAGGGTGTGAAAAGAATTAAATAAAATAATGTAACCTACCTCTCACAATAATTCGCACGCACGGTCTGATGTACATTCATTTTTGCCCACTTCTATCTAGCAGATATTATCTACCACTGGTAATACTGTAGATTTTGATTTTCAGTTGATTGCTGAGGCTAAAGTTTTTCTCATTATAATCTTTTCTTTTTGATAAAGAGTAAATATCAAATAATGGCTTAATAAATTGGTGCATTGTTAAGAGTTTGACTTGAGATTTCGATGATGGATAAATAATTCGTACTTGTGTGATGCTCATCTAGAGTTGGCCGAAAAAGCATATTTCTTCTCTTTTCAGCTGAAGTGACTTTTCAATCCAAAATATGAACTATTATGGATCTCTGTTATGTTTCTCGTTTTCCCTTTCTTTCCCCCCCCCCCTCTAACCACTTTAGTCCGAAAACAGAGAGAGAGAGAGAGAGAGAGAGAGAGAGAGTCCAGAGGATGTAAATGTGAATTCATGGAGTATGAATGGAGGTAACTAGTCAAAAGACTTTAGAAGTTTCTACAAAGCTGCCATTTTAACACTGAAATATTTGGGGCATGGTCTCCAGTATCTGATTCTGCAGGATTTGTCTTCGTCAGATGGTTTTGTGGTGTCACGTAGCATTCTTTCTTCGTTTCTGAAAAAAAATGAAAAAGAAAGACTTTTCTTGGTGTTTTTTTGCTGGTTGATGCATTGCAACTTTTACTCAAAGGCTGCGTGCACGATAAGAGATTGGAACAGTAGGCTGTGGGTAATAAATGGGAGGCCCACCTCAGTCGGCCAAACCTCAGACTAAGCGACTTCCGCCCAGCTACACGTTTCCAGCTCAGGTGACCGAAGCTCTACAAATTATGGAGCGGCACCTTCTTCCAAGAGGAACCAAGTTACATGACTAATGGCACGGCAGAAAGCTCAGTCGTGAGTCTAGGGAATTTAAGTCCGTAGATGGGCTTGTTTATTTTAATGTTTCAAATACAAGTTTAGTAAGTTTCTAGTTCTAAGAGTCCATGAAGACGTAACCTTATTTAACTCTTTAATCACTAAAAGAGGGAAAAGATATCCAGGGGTAAAAATGATAGAATTTTTCTTCTACTTTCGAAGGCCATCTCATAGTTTACCACAAGTAGAATTTTCTACCTACTTCAGCGTAGAACTCTTCAACACGTCAACCCTTTAATCAATCTTCAACTGGGCTATAAACTATCAAGTCTGCTCAAGCCCTGATAACGTGATTACCAATTTGTCAAAACTTTAACTTCATTAAGCAAAAAAATGTCTTTTATTATTATTTTAACATTTGATAAAATATGTACACCATATTTTTCTCTAAACCATTGCCAATATGGTATCCAAGACTTTACATCTATTTCCACAATCCTTTGTAAACCCAAACAGAATTTGTCTGACTTAAACGATAACCAAACATAATAGCAGACATGAATCAGCTCAATGACCATTTTCAAGACTGTTAGTTCACACAGTCGAAACCCAATATATATGTATATGTATACATATCATTTCGTAGTACTACCAACATGAGACGCAGGATTTTGTTCTACGAACTCTATCTCGCAATGGATTGTTTCCTTGCTCCTTCAGGTTGTGCTGAAGTTGCCACCAAGAACAAGAGGGTGGTTGCTTTGCACAAATTAACATACAACTTCTACTTGGGTAAAACTACATGGACTCTATATACACCGAATAGAACAAGAAAACAGGAAGAGAAACATTTTCATCCTGGCTTCTGATCAAAACCCTAAATCTAAGAGAGAGCCGTTCATTCTCATTCTTACTTTTAGGTAATGAGAGGTCATTCCACAGAATAAGATGCAGTTCATGCTGCTCGAGAATAAATTAGGTGCAGCCTAGATAGCTAAAATGTACAAGTTATTTTTTATGCTTGGGACGTGAGTATAAGGGTTGAGAGAAAGCAGAAGGGAAAAGATGACGTGGAACAATTTGATAACTAGTAGTCTCTTTAATGACTACATTACAAAATTTACCCATCTCATTAGGTACATGCTGCAAACTGGCAACTTGATGATGGAGCTCGTGCAAGTCAGATGCAAACTCAGCAGCCTTACCTATATGTGTAGTTGATGGTTAGCATTTCTAACATTCCATTCAGGATCTGCCTACCTATATGCAAATGCATATTTAATAATGATATCTAATTCATGGGTAAACTTGAGCATCTAAATTTCAAGTTAGAAGAACGTAATTACAAAAGATTCCCTGTAAATGACTTTTTAGGAACATTTTTCTAGTAAACTAGTAACAGGATCTGCCTACCTATATGCAAATGCATATTTATTAATGATATCTAATTCATGGTTAAAATTGAAACATTTAACTTTCAAGTTAGAAGGATGCATTTACATAAAGATTCCCTGAAAATGAATTTTTAGAAATATTTTTCTAGTAACTTGTACTCAGCGGAGCACCATTCAGAAGCTGTAACATAAATTAATTCATGTGAGCATCTGCAAAAGAATGTATTTTCCATATTCTTAGACTGGAAAGAGAAAAGGAAAATACAGTCACCGGACTTCGTACTTCTAGATAAAAGTTGAAAAGAATTTGGCATAGGCGATTTGATTCAGGAAGAAGAGTGAAAGGAGAGATCTGATGGACCCCTTTAACTGAAATTAGCAATTGACATACATAATATCTATCTTGATTAAAACTGGAACACATGTGGAAGGACTTATCAAAGACAATCACAGGTTAAGCGAATATTTCAACTCAAACCACGGGAATTAGAAAGTTCTACAACTGTCTGCACAAGAAAAGAAAAGGAAAAGACACATAAACAAACAAAAACAAAAAATAAAAACTCTTATCAATATTGTCCATAGCCCATTATATTTCACCTTTCAAGAAATGCCCATGCTAGAGAGTCTTGTCCACTTTTATGGTGGGAAAACTCTTCCACAACATCCACAATGCATAGCATGACCCTATTTAATAGTAGAGGATGCTTTAAATTTTGTTTCACAAGTTTGAAAACTGAGAATTCCACTACTATGCAGCATAAATAGTAATTATGTTTCTTAACCTAAATGGCCAACCATCAGTATATTATTTTCTTTGGTTCATGAAAAGAAATCCTAATCCTTCTGTTAACGTGTATAAAAATAAAAGCATTCATTTCTAAATGAATCACGTAAGACACAAGCCAGATGCAGAAAATCCTAAAGTGCAGGCAAAAATATTATTCACAACGCACTATGTAGGTCACACCTAATAAAGTATGAATTTCTAAGCAAGTGAACAATAAATTACGAATGAATGTTACCAAGTCTTCCATGAGAACAGACAAATGAATATAAGATCATAATATATACTAAGTGTTGTTCTTGGATGAACAAATACCCCTGTAGGCTACGGTCCGCCAAATTAGCTCCTGAGCAATTCAAAATTCTAATTTTATATAGCACCCTTTGCCAGTGTTATCTATTATCTATCCATTCTGCGATCTTCATGGTAGCTTATTAAACTAAACAAAGGTACATTTATTGTTTTCTTTCTAGGAAATATAACATTAACTTTAAGGACTATAAAATAAGTTCAATTACCAATTCAAAATACAAATTAATTAATGAAGTATTTACATCATTAATCTTGTAGAATCTAGAACCATATACTTTACCACACACCATAGAAGGAATTTTGGCACTTTTATGTCATCTATGTCTTCCTATTTCCTACATAATTGTCTGCAGAGTGTATCTTTCGTTACTTGCTCAAATTGTTTCTCAATAATAAATTTTTCATTAAGAACAAAGAAATCTAGGTTGACAATGATGAACAGAGAGTGAAACACAAAAGGGTCTGCAGGATAGGACACTGCACTAGATCATCAAGAAGTGACTGACCAAGCCCAAAGGAGGAAATGCAATCTAACAACATCTAACAATAACCTCAGGTTACAAAACATGGATAAGGATAACAAGAATTCAAGGCCCATGTAGGTGTACAATTTGGTCCTTGTGCTTCCTGGGGGAATCGGATAAGTGAAGATTGTATGTTATAGCTATTAAATTGATTTTTGCGTGGCTATTGACCTCTGAGATTGTGATAACACAACATGTAGCGACCATACAAAGAGAGATTAGAGAAGCCTAATAAAAGCTAGAGATTGAAGTGGCCCCCCTGACCCAGGCTTCTTGCCATGCTACACCTTATGACTAAAACCACAACAACTTTTATGCTTCAGAATAAAAGATTGCAAAAGACAAAGCATTTTATCCATGAAAAATATCAAATTGAGAAAATAGCTAGCCATCCCTTTCAAAAGCAGGACCATTGCGGAAATCAGGAATAACGATCAATTAAATTTCAATGAATTAGCCAAACAGAGTAAACAAAAGGTAAAACTAGACTCAATTGGATCACTAAGTACAACTTTTCATTTCATATTTGCACAATAAGTAAAAGATAACAAATAATGAAGAATAATTACTAAAAGAAAAGAATAATCATGTATTTAAGAAAATAATCACCAACATTACCAAATAGTGAGTGACAAAATACCCAAATTCTGTCAATCAAAACCAATTGATGAAGAATCAAGCGTCTGATCCACTCTAGCTAATCCCGAAGCAGACATCCACAATGCAAAACAGGACTATAAAGAAAAGGTGGACCCGAAATCTTCTCATTTCTGATCGACACCGTTAGGGCAATCCCTCGCAAAATGTCCTTCCTCTCCACAATTGTAACACGCACCGCCGCCTCTACCACCAGGAGCGCTGCCGTATTTCCTCCTTCCACTACTGCCGCCTCCACCACCGCCGCCACTGCTTTGGTAGCAATCCCTCGCCAAATGCCCCATCCTTCCACAATTATAACACGCACCACCACCTCCACCGCTACCATACCCACCATAGCCACCATAAGCGCCGTATCCACCACGTTCACCTCTTCCACCGCCTGGGCCACCTCTGCCTCTAGAAGCGTATGATCCTCTCCCTCTACCGCCTCCGCGACGGGACCTGCGGAGGGCAGCGACTTCGATGGCCTTGGTACGGCCGTCATCGCCTAGATCGACGGTGAACTCAACGGGCTGACCATCTGACAGAGTGCGGAAGCCGTCAGATCGGATGGCCGTCTGGTGGACAAACAGGTCGTCGCCGCCGTCGTCGGGGGCTATGAACCCGAATCCCTTCTGTGCGCTAAACCATTTCACTGTTCCAGTGGATCTCTGGGTGATTGTATCAGCCATGAGAATCTGACTTCTGTCTCCTGTCCCTTCCACTCGTTCTAGAATGTTCTGGAACTCTGAGGTGTGGCAACGCCAAGGTGGAATGAGTGGAGTGTCGGAGGTGTGCGTCGGAGGCTTAAGAGCTGGGATTGGGCGGTTTATTTAGTTGGGTTTGTGCGGGGACCATATGAGAAGGAGATCTGACGGCCAAGATATGGAGATCGAGGATTTGATCCTATCCAACGGCGCAGATGCTTTCGAGGTTTATCGGTTTTGGGCTTTGACTGAATTAGGCGCATCCACGTCAACAGCTTACTTTTTTGGTTTTAATATGCCAACACGAATTAACCACTGCAGGTTTATGAAAGCAAAGATAGTATATAAATTTACCAACCGAGTATTTACCATAATTAAATTATTATCAAACATAATTTTCTTTATAAAGAACAAAATTTAATTACCGTATCTAAAACCTATTTTATTTTGTTGGTTCCTATAAGATCCTCTATCACTACATTTCAAAATAAAATTGATGTATATTTTTAGATTAAGTATTAAATGTTATAATTTATATATTAGAATATAAAAATTTATAATTTCAGAAACTTATAATTTTAGTTTATATTTTGAAACAACTTCAATTTTTAATTTAAATCATATAAAATTTATTATTATTTTTATGTAATTCATGCTGGTCTAATTAAAAAAATGATATGCAGTAACTAAAAAAGTAATAACTACGTTAGAAAATAAACTACTTTTATAATTAAGCTAAAAATTTTTTTATGAATATGTAAGTTATATTATGTTAATTATTGTTATTCTAAAAAAATATTATGTTACTTAAAAATTTATAAAGAGGATTGAAGTAGACATTTGGATTTAGAGTGAGATCTTTTACTTAATATAGATTTTCAATGGCATTTAAATAAATTTTCTCTAAGTTATTTAATTTATAAGTCATTTGGATTATCAGACTTATCTTTTAGGTATTTTATTCTCATTTTACTTTTAGTCTAATAAAATTTAAACTAATAATATTTTTAAGTTTTAAAAATATTTGAATTAACTGATATTTTTCATGACTTTTAAACTTGAGAATTTGCTTAGCATTTAGTAAAATTAAAATGTTTAAGCTGGAATTTTAATTTAAAGACCAAAAAAAAAAAGAAAAAAAACCAGTTGCTCTTTTAATTAAAAAAAATTGTCTTAATTAAGTTTATATTTTGAGAGGAGTATGTTGGTAAAAAAATATGATCAAATGGGCTAAAACTTTATTCTAAAAATTAAAAGTATTTAAAATTCATAAAATTAATATATAATTAATAAATTAATTCTGTAATTAATTTTTTAAAATTATTTTATATAGTATCACATATAATTATATTAATACATAACAAACTGTTTTTAAAATATAAATATTTCTTGTACAAATTCAAACATTTGAAGAAAAAAACAACTAAAATTCTCTTCTTCTTCTTCTTCAGGACTTTTTGAGAGAGAGAGAGAGACTGTTTTTTTTTTCTCTGTACTTTGTGTCCCATTTTTTTATTCTGCTTTTTTTTATATATATTATTTAAAAAATATAATTTCTACTAAATATAGTAACAAACTCTAATGTTAATTTTGAATTTAAATAAGTAGATTATCTTAATCCGATTCAGTCCTTAAAAAGAATTGTTATAAAGGAAATTGCTCTCTCTATATAGGAACTTGAATATCACCTAATTTAATAAACGTATTTTTTTGTTTGACTTTTTGGGAATCCTCCCTCCTAGTGATTAACACGAACAAAAACATATGAATATGTATATGAATTTCGCAGTTTAACATTGATTGTATTGAACCCAGCAAACAAAATCTAAGTAAAAGATAATTACTCAATTCTCCACAGTACATTAGAAACAAACACTCTTTATTCTTTGCACAAATTGCTCCAAGTATTGGAACTATTTTCAGGAGACAATAAAAGCAGCAAAGAGAAGAAACAAGAATTCTTTCCAGATATTGAAACTATTAAAGATGTCAAAAAGAAAGGGAAGGGGAAAAAGTGATAGACCACGAAACATTTGACGGTGTATAGCGAGAGGGGTTAAGAGGAGTGAGGCCAAAAAAGGTGGTGGGCGGTTGAGGAAGGAGGGGTACGACAGCAAATGGAGGCAGTGAATTTCCCCATCCACCAGCACCAGATAAAACTGGAAAACCAAGTGCACCCATTTGGGGCCACTGCAGAGAGACAGCAGCTCTAGGTTGAGTTTGATGGTCCTCCCACCTGAGTTCTTCATGGGTTTTGTTTCCGTAAGCAGGCATAGCTGATATGGAAAAGAGAAAGCTGCAGTTGCCAGTTAGGGATTGATTATGGTTAGGATCAATGGTTGGTGAGTAAGCAGCAAGTTTGGTTCCCCATTTGGGAGTTTGGAGTTGTGGAATGTTGGAGAAGCAATGGAGAGGAGTGGCTGAAAAATCGAAAGAAGTGCATCCAGAATTGAAACTAGATGGGAATGAAGAACTGGAAAAAGAAGAGAAAGGATTAGGGGAATTTTTGAAGGGTTGGGGAGAGGGGTTAAGAGGATGGGTAGTAGGGAGCTTCAGGCCACAACCAAAAGCAGGAATAGAATCTCCAGAAGAAGCAAACAACGGAGAAAATGAGACAGAGGAGGAAGCTCCATTTGTAGTACCGAAAAGGGTTGTGTTGTTTGGTGGAGAAAACACAAAGGGTATCTGCTTTTTAATTTTTGAACAACCAAAGCTAACGGGTTCTTCATTCTTCCCTGCAAAAAAAAAAAAAACCAAGGTTAAAATTGCTAATCTTTCCAATATATATGAGTATATCTGTGTATGTGCACATAATAAAAAGAAAGAGAACAAAGAATATATACCCGGAGTGGCGGCGGGTTCATCAATTTGCATATTTGGTTTTTCACACTCTTTTGAATTCCTTGAAAAGTACTAGTTTGGATTGGTGTTCCATTAAAGGGGTTTATATATAGAGCAGCGTAGGGCGTCTTTCTTACGCAGACCTGGCCACAGCACTAGCTTCAGTTCCACGCCACGCTAGCGGCTGAGCTACCGGACTTGGTCTCTCTAATTTTCAATTCGCTGCTTGTCAAAACGTCAAAAGTCAACTTCCCGGCCTCTCTCCTTTCTATTTTTGTTTTTCTTGGTTTGGGTCATCCTCTTGTATTTTGACTCCGACTCTCATGTTTTATTTTATTTTTTAAGACAACATGAACTGAATTATTAGTTTTGTTAATAATAATCGAATCCAGTGTCAAATTTAATTTTAAGTTCAGGAAACTCTTAATCTTAAACCAATAGATTCTGACATTTTTACTACTAAAATATAACTACTTTTAACATTGAAATTGGTCCATAAAATTATATGTTTTCTTTATCGATGATTGCATATAAAATTTGTAATTTAAAAGACTTAATAAATTTAGACCCTTAATCATATTTATGAGTATTAAAATACATTTTTTTTTTTAAATAGCGAATATTAAGGCATGTATTATATTGGCTCATTTTGTAAGGGGCCCCAATTACTCAAGCATGTTTCCAATACTTTCAAATACCCCGACCGAGTCTTCAAGCACTGTGAGTATTAAAATACATTTTTTTTTAAAAAAAATTCTAAATACATAAAAAGAGAGTTTCAAGTACTTTAATAATTATTAACTTTTAAAACACTCAAAAGTGTATTTAAACTTTTTAGATAATTAAATGTAATTTTGAGCATTCTCATATTCTATATATTACGATATTTTACGAGTGTTTAAATATATTTTAAAATACTTCATATATATATATGTTACATTTTAATTATTTTTATATATTTTTTATTATTTAATATACTTGAATATAATTATAATATTTTAGCGATTCTTTTATATTTACTGTTTGAATGTATTTATAACTATTTAAAAATGCACGTGTACATTTTTTAATGTTTTAAATATGTAAATACATCTTTTTCTTATTTAGATATTTTAATAACTCAAAAGCATATTTTTTTTAAAAAAATTCATGAGACGTTAATAAAAGTAAAATATTAATTATGTTATCAGAATACATACATTATGGGTATTTAAGAATATAATAAAATTATAATGTTAATTAGATATTTTACCTATTTTCATACCATCAGTTTTTCTCTAATTTAGGACATAAAAAATTGAATTGCCGAGAGAAAACAGATAACAAAAAATTCGTAACAAATAAAATTTTCTAACAAAATTAAATGTTTATCTTCCTAATTTTTTTTCATTGTATAACATCCCCCTAAATTTTGGCCTTTCTATCTCTTTTTCATGGGGGTGTGATGCCCACAGTGAATGGAGGAGTTACAAATCATGCTTTTAGTATTATTGTTATTATTTTGTAAAGACCAGCAACCCCTGCGGCTCTGAAACACAGCAACCTGAACCAGCACTTACGGTGAGTTGTGCCTTGGTCGGCACGTTCATCTCAACCATCTCATTCTCCGTGAGGCTGAGCCCTCTACATTCTAACTCAACTAAAAATCCATTCTTTTTTTTTTTATGCCCTATCAATCGATCAAACACCAGATCTGGAACCGTCAGAAATCAACGGCTATCGAACTTCGATTCACTTCTTGCCCATACAGCTGTTAGCTAGACGATCAAAATAATTATTCAGCTTCATCTTTTTTTTTTTTTTTACTGTAGTAGAACAGAATTTTGGGGTATTTAGCTTTTTATTTCTTTTTTACTTGCACTGTGTTCATTTTCGACGGTCAAAAAACTGAAACAGTAACGAATAAAAGAAACGTGGTCGACTAATGGCCTGGGCGGCTTCTCTATTAATTGCAGGGAGGTGCAATTTGACACCGCTTTTGTCCCTCCGCAAGACCCTTATTGTTCTTATACGCTTCTGATCCTCATTTCTTCTTAGTTTTTTTCCCCTTTGACCTCCGTTTATTGTTGATATTATTATTTAAAACAAGTTTGATTTGGAGTCTCATTGAGTCTTGGTTCCCAGACTTTCTCTTTTCGTCTGCGATTTATTTCACCAATTCTTTGATTGATATCGCTGTTCCTTTCGGGCCTCGGCTGCTTTCTTTCCTGTTGAATCGACACGTTTGCTTGGTGTGAATCTGAGTGCTCGGTTCGGCGAAGTTTAAAGGCTTCTTTTCCTTTTTCTGGTACATCTCTCTCTCTATCCCTCTCTCAATAATATTGCTATTTCTTAATACTTAAAAGTCATGTAGAGTTTGCTTTCTGGTGCAGTTTTAATTAAATTATTTCTCCCTTTTCAGCCTTTTACACTTTATTGGTCTATGGTTTTTTTTTTGCTAGCTCCTGCATACGTTTCGCTTACAATCTTATATAGCGAAAGAATTATTCACGGCCAGATGGAGAGTATTTTAGCATAAAAGCCAAGGCGAAATAGAACAGAGATTCCTTTTTTAGTTTTTCTTAGTTGGAAAACCAATTGGATTGAAGTGGGGCTTCCATAATGTACCTTTCCCTTTTCCCTTTTTTCTGTGGATGTGTTAGTGGAGGGCAGATCTTCAGGAACTGTGAAATATAAGCAAACCCTATTGTCCTTGTTACTTTTGTCGTTTTTTGGGCTTAAATCAATTACGATTGGCTTGCACCTGTTTACATACGTACAGATTGATGTTCAATTTTCTTATCCCCAAAACGAAACTTCCTTTAAATTCATAAATATTGGTTCTATGACTTCGGAACTGGCAGGCAAAATTTTGTATTATGTTACCAATTGAATTATTGAAAGCAGACAACGGTCTTGTCATGCTAGCTTAATTCAATCTTCGAAAGCGTATATTTTACTGTCTATTGAAAAGGGTGGAAATTGGAAGGAACCTATCTGGCCATACATGGCTAGTAGCTATAATTTGTCGATAGTGTTGGTATTACAGATTCATTCTTGAGTTAAATGAACTGTTTGGAAATCAGAAGACTAGTTTGCAGACGTCATCATTATTATCATATTTACTGGTACCTTACTTCATTATTCTTGAGATATTCCTCTCCATTAAGACAGTCAATGTAACTTTTAGTGGAGAGCCTTGTAGATGTGCTAGTGGGTGAAACTCTTTTGTTTTAGCAGAAATAATAGGCTGCAGGTTAGGCTGGTCCTAAATGATGTCTATTTCTTTCCCACGTGCTGGCTCCTACAAACAAGAGACACCTTACAATATATTTGGAATAAATCTAGACATTTTGTGCTCATTTATAAGTCTATCCTTGGTTCAAAAATTTTATCTAAAGCAGAGTTGTTGAGACACTTCCAGAAATTTTAAGCAATGACATCATCGTTAATAATTGCATCAGCTTCTGCACCCTTATTGTACGTGAGTCCACTCTATATGTTTCTACCAATTTATTTGTCTATTTGGAAGAAATGAATTCTGTGTTTTTGCAGGAAGGTCATGGGTCATGGAACTAATGACGCTGAACACAGACAAATTGGATCATTTAGTAGGACCAGCAGTGAAGGTTCTTCGCTGAGAAGGCGTTCCCTAAGTTTACCTGGTGCTGTGCCTCTTGAAATAGATGATGACATTGAGAGTGAGACTGTTTCCGAGGCAGGAGATATTGGTGATCGGGCTCTTCAGAGCAAAAGACACAGTGAGAGTGGCAGTCTTCGTTTTTCCTTTGATAATGCTTTAGAGAATGAATTAGCTCTTCCTATTCCAGAAAATCACATATTTCAGTCATATGGATCTTGGCCTCATGATCCTTCAGCACAAAATACCATCTCTGCAGTGACACCATTGCCAGATGAAATTATATCTCCTATCTCCACTGAGGCACTTGTCCAGTCCAAGGACAAAAAGCAAGTGAGCTTGAGCTAATAGATCTTAGCTATTTTCTTTTTGTCCAGAGAAGCGGCTAAATAGTGCGATGGTGGGGTTTTCTTTTTTTTTTTTTTTTCTGGATGATTAAGTGTATCTAATTGACCATATTTTTCATGGTTCACATCAGGGACAAGGGGAAGATAAAGTTTTGCCACATTCGTTTGAATACTTATCATGTCTGATCCATTTGGCAGTTTTTGGAATTCTTGGGGTAACGTGCTTAATCCTTAACTTGAAAAACTCTTGTCCGTAATAGGAGATTCTGTGTTGGAATGCACATTTTTCAGTCATTGAATTGCTAGAATGTTTAACTTTCATATGTTAAAATGCGCAGGTTTTGACAAGATACCTATTACAGAAACTATTTGGCCCTGGTGTTGCTAGATTGACAAGTGATCAGAGCATTCTTTACCTTGATCTTCCTTCTAATATGGTTTCTCTCTCTCTTCCTCTCAAAAATACACATTAATCATATATAACGTATCTACAATGTGATGGCCGTTTGTTTAAAATTTGTTTACCAATCTTCCATTATCGTACATTCTAGATAGGGAACTTCCATCATTTTCAAAATGGTCTATTGTTGGGGGCACTGGTTGGCTTCCTTTTCTTTTAACTTTTTTGTTTCTTTTTTAATGTACTGTCTCAGTGGTTCTGGATCCTTTTGCATATTGATTTCTTGGTCGTCATGCTTTAAACAAAAGAACCAATCTGCCAAAGAGTTGCTAGGTTGTACTCTTTTAAGTGTCTATTACTTCTTGTTGGCATTGTGCATTTGTAGATGATTCAATGCTACTTAAGTAACCCAGAAACAATTCATTCCTATATGCATGGGAAACCATATGTATCCCCTTTGAAAGTATTTTGAGGTATATGTAATTGGTATGCTATATGAATATGAATCTGAATCTGTATCCATTGAACTCTGAAAAGATGAAAATCTAGTTACTTGTGAACTAAAGATATGGCTTAAGCTGGAGACTTGGCATCCTAGTTTATTGTTGAGATAAGTGTATGGAATGTCGGCGGGAATATTTTCCCCACTGACTAAATAAGAAAAAGCAGTCCCCTCCAACCTCATGCAAATTGGCATTGAATGTGTTTGCATTTATATGTATTCTCTCTTCCCCTCATTAATGTACATAGAAATTACATGTGTGAGTTACATTTCATAAAAATCTTTTTAATTCTGTTAGGTCGGTTCTTTCTTGATGGGCTGGTGGGGTGTTGTTTTCAAAGAAGATATATCCAGGATATCTGATTTTTTGGCTATAGGATTGACAACTGGCTATTTGGGAAGCCTGACAACTTTCAGTGGTTGGAACCAAAAGATGCTTGATCTTAGTGTTAACGGCCAGTGGGTGTTTGCTGTGCTTGGCTTTCTTATAGGTAATGTGGCATTCTCGATGTATAGTCTATGGTAAGGTGCCCTTGAAAAAATTACTGTATTATTACTGATCTATATTACTATATATAGACAAGTGTTGGCCTGGTTGTTAAAACCATTATGGTTTCTTGCAGGCTTGTTTCTGGTAGCCTATTCGATCATTTTTGGGGTTGAGACTGCCAAGGGTTTCAGATGGCTCGTTTTCAGGCTGGGTACAAGCTCAAAAAGAGGGACATTTAGCTCTTGTAGCAATTGGAGGCTGGACAGCCACAGGCATCATGTGGTTGTAGTTCTTGTGATGTTGCTGATGCTTGCAGTTATGTGGACTGTTAGTGCAATATTGATCAAAAGAGAATTCAACAGCGGCAGCAGTGCAGCTGAGCTGTGGTTGGGTTGCATAGTTGGGCCTCTAGGTGTCTGGATCAGGTGGTTCTTAGCCCGTCTTAATGGACGTGGGCTGGGGAACGGAAGATATTTGAAATGGATTCCATTTGGGACTCTAATTGCCAATGTTTCTGCAGCTTGTGTCATGGCGGCACTGGCTACTTTTAAAAAAGCGGTAAGGTTCTTTTATATGATGTTTTCCGTGCTGAAATCCTAGAGTCCACCAGCCATATCTGCATCTTCCCTCAACGTTCACAGAAGAAGAAAAAAGACAAAATAAAAAACTAGAGAGAAAACCAACCCATCTGTCTGCCTTTAGTGTGTAGTAAATCAATATTATTGGCATTTTGAGAAATCTGTATATGGGTCCTTATTGAGCTCATATCTGTAGGGACTCTGTAGCTTTTTTGTTGGAAGGATAAAGATTGCTATTCTGTTCTAAAATTTAGGCGTGTAGTAGCTTTGACCTAGAATAGTTGAGCAAGATAAGTGTGGTAGATCAGTCTCTAGGTAGTTGGCAGGTGTGAAGTAGGCCCAAGCGCCAAAACCACATAAATCATCATGGATTAAGTATCGTTGTTTCCTATGATTATTTATTCCACCATGCTATCATGCTCAACTAGATATGTATTATGGGAAATTC